TAACACATTTTGATTGTTAGCTTGATCCTCAGCTCCAAAGATCCATTTAGTAACTGATCCATTACACAAGAAGAGCATATCAAGATATAAATACTGTCTTTGATTTTGAAACATTTGTGATTGATGTATTCTAAGAGCATTTTTACCAATGAATGAAGCGGGCATTGATTGAATTGGTACTAGATCTATTAACACAGTATCCATCTAATGATAGTAAAATAATTCAATGATGCAGTGAGTGTGTGTCTTACCTGTTACTGGATATACTAATATCAACTGATTTGTGATTGTAGAGTTGCTTAAACTAATACTGTTTCCATTGAGCATTTGCTGACTGCTCCTGAAGCTGACCCCTGGAACATTATCAATGTAGTACAATTTAACAATACTGAGTCCTTGTTCTGGTTGTGATACAGCTAACAGGTCTCCACTCATTACTGGTATAGGAGGATTGAGTGGATATTCAAACACTCCACTAGTACTGACATTAGAGGTAGAATAATAAATAGTTCTCTCAGTCACTAGGTTATATGTATTAGAGGCACCAACACGTCTAAAGACCTGGACACTGGGAAACATAGTATAGCCAGGTCTTACATCAATACCCAATATAAGACTGGTTATATTAGTGGATGAACAATTGAACTGATACTCTTGAAGGACTCTTAGTGTTCTTGTATTTTGTGCTCTGTATCTTACTAGTGATTGGTCCATTTAATAGCCTTGTACATTCCTGCCCCTGACCTTGAGCTGTAGAGCTACCTGTCAAATATAAAATGAAGGTTAAAGATGGTGCCAGTGTGACCTTACAGAAAAGGTACAGAAGACATATGACTGAAAAAGAGTCTCGGAAAGAACAGCAACTCCGGTTCTTGCTGATTCTAATCTATGTTCTAATCAAAACGGCCTACACTTCCTGTTTTATTGCGTAATGTGACGTTTGCCCGCAAACATTTTAAAAATTAAACCAACACATTAGATCTAGCACATGAATTCCTAAACTAGATATAATCCATACAAAAGTTATGATGTATTAATTTACAGTATAAGTGTTTTGTAAGTCAGTGTATAAATCATAAGCACTCTCCAGTGATCCTCCTAATACTGTGCCTTCTCTCTCAACAGCTTCATTCAACTCTCTCGTACCAGAGGAACCAAACTTTGACACTATGTCAGCAAACACAGGGCGACCACTTGTCTTTGGATGCCTAGAAAGTAAAGAATAATTTGTGGAATAAATTAAACCAAATGAATGCAGACATACCAGCATTGTATCATCATCTCATATATAGACCTAGGACAACCAGGAGGAGGAGGAAGACGAAATCCTGTATCTATCAACTTCATGTACTGTATACAGTTTCGAACAATATTGTATATTAAATATATTTCACCTCTTGATTGGTGTAGTTTTCAAATGGTTTATGTCCCAGACTCCATATCTCATACATTACTACACCATAACTCCATACATCACTAGCACTGGAATAACGCTTGTAAGCCAATGCCTATTATAATTATGATTATTGTATTATTAATAGTTGCTGGTAATTTTTACTTCAGGAGCTGTCCATTTGATAGGAATCATCTTTGCAGTAGATACATAATAATTTTCATCATGTAGATCTCTTGACATTCCAAAGTCAGCAATCTGTTCAATAGTGTTTATAAATATTAATATACTAAACACTTTACTTTACACATTCCATGATCAGCTATTAGTATATTCCTAGCAGCCAGGTCTCTGTGTACAAACCCTTTCTTAGACAAGTACTCCATACCTGAAGCAATCTGACGACAGAAACTGAGCAGTAGACCTGGTACTGTTGATGCTACCAGTTCTCCTGGTCTATAATACACAATATTAATAACATAATCTACTGATAGTACATACTTTGGTTGTAGAGTGTGAAGGTATTGTCTCATGTCTCCATGAGGTATTAACTCCAGTACTATCATCATCTGTTCTCAATATAATAAAATTACTATTAATTATATTAATTAACCCACTGGCTCTCCAACAGTGACCATTCCAT